TAAGTCTGCAGCAGCCTGGGTACGGCACTCCCCTTTCCAAGAATCCTTCTTCTGAACCACATGGTTCCAAAGAACAAAAGAGGGTTTTCTTCTTCCTAAAATGGATCCCTGAGCTGAAAAGAAACCTTTTACCAGTAAATATCTGTTGAATGAATGAGTTCTGAGCCAAGATATTTTGGAGCATCCTGGTTCTTGCTCATTTGTTTATTCAATTCACAAATATTTCTTGACATGCTCCTTTTATCTTTATAATGTTATCAAAATAATGTGCCTAAACTCTGAAAAAGAAACTGTGGTAAAAAATGGAACTTATGATGATGCTTAAGTGAGGAGTGCAGAGTTCCAAAGAATAGCAAGGAGAGATAAGAAAGCCTTCCTCAGTGATCAATGCAAAGAGATAGAGGAAGACTATAGAATGGGAAAGACTAGATATCTCTTCAAGAAAATTAGAGATAGAAGAACTAAAGAGCCTCTTGATGAAAGTGAAAGAGGAGAGTGAAAAAGTTGGCTTAAAACTCAACATTCAGAAACTAAGATTATGGCATCTGGTCCCATCACTTCATGGCAAATAGACAAGGAAATAGTGGAAACAGTGACAGACTTTATTTTGGGGGGCTCCAAAATCACTGCAGAGGTGACTGCAGCCATGAAATTAAAAGACGCTTACTCCTTGGAAGAAAAGCTATGACCAACCTAGATAGCATATTAAAAAGCAGAGATATTACTTTGCCAACAAAGATCTGGTCAAAGCTATGATTTTTTTCCAATAGTCATCTATGGATGTTAGAGTTGGACTATAAAGAAAATTGAGTACCAAAGAATGGATGCTTTTGAACTGTGGTGTTGGAGAAGACTCTTGATAGTCCCTTGGACAGCAAGGAGATCCTACCAGTCCATCCTAAAGGAAATCAGTTTTGAGTATTGATTGGAAGGACTGAAGCTGAAACTGACACTCCAATACTTTGGCCACCTGATGCGAAGAGCTGACTCATTAGAAAAGACCCTGATGCTGGGAAAGATTGAGGGTGGGAGGAGAAGGGGACAACAGAGGATGAGCTGGTTGGATGACATCACTGACTAAATGGACATGAGTTTGAGTAAGCTCCAGGAGTTGGTGATGGACAGGGAGGCCTGGCTTGCTGCAGTCCATGGGGTCACAAAGAGTCAGACACAACTGAGCAACTGAACTGAACTGAACTAAGTGAGGAAGATAAGGTTATGCTGTATTTTCTCCAATATTTTATCTTTCTTTGGAACTGAAGTATAGCTGATTTACAATATTAGTTTCTGGTGTATGTCAAGCTGATTCAGTTTTATATATATGTATATATATACACACATGTAATATATATATATATTCTTTTTCATATTATTTTCCCTTATGGTTTATTACAGGATAGTGAATATCATTCTCTGTGCTATACAGTAAGATCTTGTTGTTTATCTACTATATTTTCTCCCACATTTTATTATGAAAAGTATCAGTGAAATACAGAATTTAGAAACATTATACAGTGAACACCGATACACTGTTTTGTTTTATTTTTTAGATTCCACATATAAGTGATATCATACAGTATTTGTCTTTGTCCGACCTAATTCACTAGGCACTGTATTTTTATTGAGGTTATTGTTATTCAGTCGCTAAGTCATATCTGACTCTTTGTGACCCCATGGACTGCAGCATGCCAGGCTTCCCTGTCTTTCATTGTCTCAGAGTTTGCTCAGATTCATGTCAGTGGAGTTGGTGATGCTATCTAACCATCTCATTCTCTGCCACACTCTACTCCTTTTACCTTTAGTCTTTCCCAGCATCAAGGTCTTTTCCAGTGAGTCAGCTCTTTGCATCAGATGGCCAAAGTATTGGAGCTTCCGCTTCAGTATTAGTCCTTCCAATGAACATTCAGGGTTGAATTCCTTCAGGATTGACTGGTTTGATCTCCTTGCTGTCCAAGGGACTCTCAAAAGTCTTCTCCAGCGCAATTCGAAAGCATCAATTCTTCAGTGCTCAGCCTTCTTTATGATACTACTCTCACATCTGTACGTGACTACTGGAAAGACCATAGCTTTGACTAGATGGACCTTTGTCAGCAAAGTGATGCCTCTACTTTTTATTAATGTCGACTAAAAGATGTGTACAACTTGAGAGTTGTTAAGTTTTATTTGGGGCAAAATGAGGACTACAGCCTGGGAGACAGCCCCTCAGATAGCTCTGAGAGGCTGCTGCAAAGAGGCAGTTGGGGAAGGTCAATATATAAGATTTCGGTGAAGGGGGAGTTCAATGCAATTGAGAGCTTACTCTACAAAAGTTTTTCTGCTAGTCACAAGAAGCTGATGTCACCATGAAGGGATTTAGTGTTTTTCTAAATGTGAAGCAATACAAGGATTGGGATCATGAAATCAGTTCCTGGAAATATCTAACTATCTGAAGACCTGTTCCACTGGATTCCCTGGAGAACAGAATGCCTCACTGCACCCTGGATTCCTTCAACAGGGGGAGCTGAAGGCCAACAGCTGCAGCAGCACAAGGTTCAATCCCCACAGAGGCAGATGGCAAATGCTCTTGCTGTTCAGTCACTGGCAAATGCTCTTGGCAAGTACCAGTTTGTAGTTGACAGGCAAGTACCAGTTTGTAGTTAACAATATGCTGTCTAGGTTTGTCATAGCTTTCCTTCCAAGGAGCAGATGTCTTTTAATTTCATGGGGGCAATCACCATCCGCAGTGATTTTGGAGCCCAAGAAAATAAAATCTGTCACTGCTTCCACTTTTTCTTCTTCTATTTGCCATGAAGGGATGAGACTGGATGCCACAATCTTAGTTTTTCAAATGTTGAGTTTTAAGCCAGCTTTTTCACTCTTCTCTTTCACCCTCATCAAAACGCTCTTTAGTTCCTCTTTGCGTTTTGTCAGTAGAGTGGTATCATCTGCATATCTGAGGTTGTTCACTAAGCATAATATGTTCTAAGTCCATCTATATTGTTGCAGATGGCAATTTTTATTTCTTTGTCATGGCTGAGTAGTATTCCATTGTGTATATGTATGTACGTATATATATATATTGATTGAGGCATATATATATATATATCTTCTCTATTCATTTGTTGATGGACCCTTGGGTTGCTTCAGTATCTTGGCAGTTGTCAATAACGCTGCAGTGAACATTGGGGTAGAAGTACCTTTTTGAATTAGGGCTTTTGTTTTTGTCAGACACATACCCAGATGTGAAACTGCTAGGTCACATGGTAGTTCTAGTTTTAGTTTTTTAAGGCACCACCATACTGTTCTCCATAATGGTTATACAAATTTACGTTCCTACCAACAGTGTACAAGGTGCCCATTTCTCTACATCCTCACCCGCATTATTTGTGTTCTTTTTGCTGATCGCCATTCTGACAGGTATGAGGTGATGTGTCATTGTGGTTTTGATTCACATTTATTTCCCTGATGATTAGTGCTGTGGAGCTTCTTTCATGTGCTAGTTGGCCATCTGCATATCCTCTTTGGAAAAATGTCTATTAGGGTCTTCGGTCCATTTTTTAATCAGCTTCTTTGGTTTTGTGTTTTTTTTTTTCAATGTTGAGTTGTATGAGCTGTTTATATACATTCAACATTAACCTCTTATCAATCATATCATTTGCGAATATTTTCTCCCATTCAGTAGACTGTCTTTCCGTTTTGCCCGTGGATCCTTTTGCTGTGCAAAAGAATTCAAATTTAATTAGGTCCATTTGTTTTGGGGCGGGTTTTGCTTTTTCTCTTTAAAAATCATAAGAATGTAGCCTTCTACCCAAGAATTTATCCGGCTTTGCCTTAATGTAGAAATAATGTTTTTTGCTGAATTATCAAGAGACATTTACACTGTTAGTATTTCTCAGTTTTCCTTAAACTCATACCACTTTTTGACTGATATAAAAATCTAACAACACCTTCTGGAAGCTGTACTTTGACCTCCCGCCCCAGTTGAGGATCAACTGTAGCAGTCTGTTTTCAGTATAGTCCCACTAGCAGAGGTTGTGTTACATATTACTTTGCATAGTTTCTGTAATGAAAAAAAAATTCAACTATAAAAGTGAAATGATAGAAATACTTCCTCAGATAACATAATCCTCTTCCCATTTGAGAACCATTCATCTAAGCAGATTTTCTAGATTTATTTCATGCTTTGTGTACCCTGGTAACCCTCCCTTATATTGGTTAGCGGTGCTTTAGATCCAAGTGAAAACTCTCACCACAGTGACTTAAGCAAAAAAGATATTTAATTTCTCATAATAACCAGCCTGGTGGAAGACGACTCCAGGGTCAGCTCAGCAGTTCAGTAATAACTAGACTCTGAGTTGGCATCTCAGTGGTTTTCTTAATGTTTCCCTGATGGCCCCATAATGATTGCCATTGCTCCATGCATCACTTCCTATCACAAAGAAGACGGTGAGTAAGAAACACCCTTGTATTCATTTTGCTCATTTGTCAGAGAGGAAGAACTTTTCCAGAACCCCAACTCTGCCATGAGACTTCCCCGTCTACCTTGTCAGCCACAGGTATGTCTCACACCCACTCCTAGACCAGCCACTGGCAAAGAGAAACAGCGGCACCATATGCAGCTTAGACCAATCGTGATGCAACCCCCCTCCCAGCATGCGTGTACAACAGGGGACTTGTACAAACCTCACCTCGTCTTAGCCCATGCCCCCTCCACGAGAATGTGAGCTCCTGGAGGACAGAGGTTTTTGCTTTGTTCACTGGTGTATTCCCAGCACCCAGGACAATGCCCAGCGTTGCAATAAATAGTCAATAATTGAAGGAAGCAGGGGATGGCTAAGGAGGCAGGGAGTATGGGCTGCAGGTAACTAACAGTGTCTGTCACCCTGATCGCACACAACCGTGGTTCGATGCCTGTGACAGCGCTGAGTGATGCTACTGATCACGGGGCCTCTGACCTGAATCCTTGTGTCTCTCTTTCCCCCCCAGGGAGTGAGCCATAGCTAGAGGCTACACTTGTGCCAATGACCTGTCCCAACTCCTCCTGTGTCTTCGAAGACAAGATGTGTGAGGGGAATAAGACCGCCCCTGCCAACGATGCCCAGATGATGCCCCTGGCGGTGGTCCTGAGCACCATCTCCTTGGTCACGGTGGGACTCAACCTGCTGGTCCTGTATGCTGTGCGCAGTGAGCGGAAACTACACACGGTGGGGAACCTCTACATCGTCAGCCTCTCGGTGGCCGATCTGATCGTGGGGGCGGTCGTCATGCCCATGAACATCCTCTACCTCCTCATGTCTAGGTGGTCCCTGGGGCGCCCTCTCTGCCTCTTCTGGCTTTCCATGGACTATGTGGCCAGCACGGCGTCCATCTTCAGCGTCTTCATCTTGTGTATCGACCGCTACCGCTCCGTACAGCAGCCCCTCAAGTACTTGCGCTACCGTACCAAGACCCGAGCATCCGTCACCATCCTAGCCGCCTGGTTTCTCTCCTTCCTCTGGATTATCCCCATTCTGGGCTGGCGTCGCTTCCGGCCGGAGACCCCAGAGCCCCGGGGGGACAGGTGTGAGACGGACTTCTACAACGTCACGTGGTTCAAAATCATGACCGCCATCATCAACTTCTACCTGCCCACCTTGCTCATGCTCTGGTTCTATGCTAAGATCTACAAAGCCGTGCGGCAACACTGCCAACATCGGGAGCTCATCAACGGGTCCTTCCCCTCCTTCTCTGACGTGAAGATGAAGCCGCAGAACCTCCAGGTGGGCGCTAAGAAACCGGGGAAGGAGTCCCCCTGGGAGGTGCTCAAAAGCAAGCCAAAAGACACCGAGGGTGGACCGGTCTTGAAGCCACCATCCCAGGAGCCAAAGGAGGTGACATCTCTAGGTGTCTTCAGCCAAGAGAAGGATGGAGAACCGGGCAAATTCTACTGCTTCCCACTTGACCCTGTGCAGATGCAGCCGGAGGCAGAGGCGAGTGGCAGGGGCTATGCAGCCATCGACCGGAGCCAGACCCGGCTCAAGATGGGTGAGCAGGGCCCGAGCATGCCTGGGGCTAATGAGGCCTTAGAGGATCAGATCCTAGGTGACAGCCAGTCCTTCTCCCGGACAGACTCTGACACCCCCGCAGAGCCGGCACCAGGGAAACGCAAGTCGCCAAGCGAGTCTAGCACAGGCCTGGAGTACATCAAGTTCACTTGGAAGAGGCTCCGCTCACATTCAAGACAGTACGTGTCTGGGTTGCACATGAACCGAGAGCGGAAGGCCGCCAAGCAGTTGGGTTTTATCATGGCGGCCTTCATCATCTGCTGGATTCCTTACTTCATCTTCTTCATGGTCATTGCCTTCTGTGAGAGCTGCTGTAACCAGCATGTGCATATGTTCACCATCTGGCTGGGTTACATCAACTCCACGCTGAACCCCCTCATCTACCCCTTGTGCAATGAGAACTTCAAGAAGACCTTCAAGAAAATTCTGCACATTCGTTCCTAGGAGAGGCTCCCAGGGCATGCAACCAAGTGACCTTTAATGACGTCCCTGAAGGAAGTGAAGGAGGAGCCTGTTGCCCTGCCAGGCCTCTGGGCCTTCTGGAGTCGGAAGAATGGTCTTAGGGGCTGGGGAGTTTGGAAAGTTCATAGGCGCAGTGTGAAGAACAGCAGATGGCGGTGGTCAGCAGAGAGCAGAATATTTGCAAGAGACTCAGCTCTGTCCAAGCTCTCCTGTTCCTCGGGAATGTGGGGACCTCAGACTTACACTGTAATTCCAGCTTTCAAACTCAAATTATTGGGCTACTGAAGGGACGTGTGGGGAGAGTTCCAGTGGAACTCCGGAGCCCTCTTCAAATGGAGCTCCACGACTGTGGTGCAGAGACCTTAGACATGCAGATAGATGCTGTCCCCTGCCAGTGGTCATCTTGAAAGGCAGGACAGCTATTCCACTGTGACTGCCACGTCTCAGAACACCTCTTTCTGAGCCTCTTTTGCAGCTTTCTCCAGATCCAGTTTCTGAACCACCCTGGCTATTCCACCTCATTATTTCTCACTCACGCACATCTTAAGAGTTGATGGGAAATGATGCAGTCTGCACATCCATCATTTTCAAACCCAAATTCCGTTCTTCTATTAAAGAGCTTAAATGCCTCCCTCAAAGAGAAAAGGAATATTTTTTAGATGGTTGTCTATTAGAAACAAAAAAAGAGGAGTGGGGAGAAGAAAGCCATATTGCTTGAGCGCTGTGCCAGGTTGGTGTCATTTAAACCCGATGACACCCCACAACAGGAGGATGGTATTACTAGAAAAGCAAATGGAGGAACAGCAAGGTGCAATAAGGTACCCGAGATCACACAACTGGTTATAAGAAAGCTGGAGCAAACATCATATGGTTTTAACTCACTATAACACATTTTCTCCGAAAGGCAAAAATTTGTTCTATTCAGTACACACACACACACACACACACACACACACAATTCCTGAGTGGTGGTGGCAGTTCACAAGAGTGTGTTGAGAGGAGGAACAGCTGACATAGAATGTGGCCACAGGTGATACTTTTAGAAGGAACAGTATACTTTTTCATCTGTGAATTCTGCTGTGTTTATCCAAGAAAATTCATCATGTACTTTTATGGTCACACTTTTAAAGTCAAAACTTAACAAAGGCATGGGAACAGGCAGTTTTACTTGGTGTTTATGTTGCAATCTGGTTGTGATTTACATTTTAAAACTGGATGCTAAACTGTAATATATGTAGCCAGTGGGAGTGCCTGTACAAGCTGGTATTTTATGTCTTGTGTTCCTGTTTGCATGATCTGTTAAAATGAGAGATTTTTACCTACTAAAATATGATCTTTGAAGCTATACTGTTGTAAGGTCGATTTATTTAATTCTGCCTTTCTGAGTCTCTTGGACTTAAGATTATGGAAGGACTGATGCTGAAGCTGAAACTCCAGTACTTTGGCCACTTCATGCGAAGAGTCAACTCATTGGAAAAGACCCTGATGCTGGGAGGGACTGGGGGCAGGAGGAGAAGGGGACGACAGAGGATGAGATGGCTGGATGGCATCACCGACTCCATGGACATGAGTTTGAATAAACTCCAGGAGTTGGTGATGGACAAGGAAGGCTGGCGTGCTGTGATTCATGGGGTCGCAAAGAGTTGGACATGACTGAGTGACTGAACTGAACTGAAATGTAATGTTAAATGTTACAAGATTTGATACAAGGTTTCCCTTTGGTTTCTGGTCATATTTGTAAATGTCTTTAGAAAAGGGCTTACTTTTTATAACAAGTTTCACTCTCTACTTTGCACCTCCCAAAGCTCTCCTCCCTCAAAACTGGAGGGAGCCAAAGAGACTTTTATCCTGCTTTGGGTTATCCTGGTCTGTTTCCATGTCAGAAACCAGGAAGAGTTGCTTCCTGGGTCCCCTCCAGACCAAGGAGCACTTTTAAGTCTTTCTAAAGACCACCCCACACAGGCAAATGGCTAAGTACCCATTACTGATATTGATGAACAGTTGAAGCAACTAGTGAAGCCAAGTGGTTACAAGTTCAGACCTTGGTCAACGAGATCTGGATTTGAATCTGACAAGAACAAAAATGGTCAGTATAATTTGCCAGAGCATAAAAAACAAGATTCCATGCATTATTGTGCATGGGCTTGCAGAGTAAATGGTACCCAGTGGGGACTCGGAGTTTTAAAGTATACTGAGCATATACTTCATGCTTTACCACTTTTATCTAATCTTTACAACAACCTTGTGAGGCAGATTTCTGTGGTTTTACAAATAGGTAAACCATAGCACAGAGGGGTTAATAAGAACCGAGCCTAAGACCTGATTCTGGAATGGGCTTCCTTTCCACGATATCAACCTGTTCTTCCTCCAACTCTCTGTATGATTGAATTAACTGTTGAAGTCATGAAAGGCAGTGGACTAGGGTGCAGATGTAACTTAGCCCTAGCCCACTCAAGAAAGAATTAGTGGCTGATGGCTTAGACAAAATCCAGTTGAAACCAGGCTCCCTGCTCCAAATACGAAAATAAATGCCTTCTTGGAAAAGCCTGTTAGAGACCTTGGTTTTAGATTAAAACTTGATTACACATTTTAGATTAAAAAGAAGCCACCCCCTTGAGTTTCTCTTTATGGACTTAAAGCTGATGAGCTTGAAGTCAATTTCTCCACTGACCAATGTGTGAAGCTTACCAAATATTGGCTTCTTGTTAACAACTTACAAGGTTTACAAAAATGCATGTTGGATGAGCTTTTTAAGGGCAGTTTTCTCCAAGTTGTTAAGTTGGAGTAACAGACGCTTGTTTTTCTTCACTGCTGCATGTTGAGGAAGGTTCAATATGCTTTGTCCCCAGATCACTGCTATTCCAGGGAAGGGCCAAGTGGCAGAGAGGGGACTGCAGGTGAGGAGGGGAAAACAATGGGTCAAAACAAGAGGAAACCAGGGGAGGTGGGCATGTTACCGAGTCCAAGCTCCTACTGCTCCTGCGTGACAGGCCAGCAAATCAAGAGTTGAGTTGTTGGAGCAAAGAATACTGACTTTACTTTGAAAGCCAATGGACCAAAAAGAAGGTGGACTAGTGTCCCAAAGAATTGTCTTCCTGAGTTAGAATTCAGGCTTATTTTAGACTAAAAGGGGAGGGGATAAAAGAATATATTCTTCACTAATGTGTTCATAGCTTAAATATATTCAAAGGAAGAATAAACCCATCCTTAGCATTTATTTTCATCCTTCAGTTCAATTCAGTTCAGTCACTCACTCGTATCCGACTCTTTGCGACCCCATGGACTGCAGCGCACCAGGCTTCCCTGTCCATCACCAGCTCACAGAGCTTATTCAAACTCATGTCCATCGAGTCGGTGATGCCACCCAACCATCTCATCCTCTGTTGTCCCCTTCTCCCACCTTCAATCTTTCTCAGCATCAGGGTCTTTTCCAATAGGTAAGTTCTTCACATCAGGTGGCCAAAGTATTGGAGTTTCAGCTTTAGTATCAGTCCTTCCAATGAATATTCAGGACTGATTTCCTTTAGGATGGACTGGTTGGATCTCCTTGCAGTCCAAGGGTCTCTCAAGAGTCGTCACCAGCACCACAGTTCAAAAACATCAATTCTTTGGTGCTCAGCTTTCTTTGTAATCTGAAGGCAATATGAAAACCATCAATTACATCATCATATAAATCTATAAAAGCTTGCAAAGCCATTCCATCCAGTAGAAATTGCCATAGATTTTCGACATTGCTAAGTTAATGTTACTGCAAAGGCTGGGTTTGCCTTTTGGTGCATGTTGAGCCAAAAGACACAACCAAACCCAAGAGCAGGAGAAGGAAGGATTTATTCTCTGCAGAATAAGTATTTATTCCTTGTTGTAAGGAGAACACCAGAGATCTTTCCCAAGGCAGTGTCTCCCAACAGCCAAATTGGGGAAGATTTAAGCTACGGTTGTTTGCATATTCATGAAGGAGCTTGGGTGTTGATTGAGGTCACAAGAGTCAGAAAAGGTCAACATCATCATCCTTCAGGTTGCAATTGATCTGGTGGCTGAGCTCCTGGGGCAGCGGGGTGGGGGCTGCAAATTAAATTCTGCAAAGCACCTCAAGAAAGTGCTTCAGGCTAGTATTTACCATTGAAACAGATCTGGGAGTCTTTACAACAGATATTAGTTTTGCTTATCATTACTTCTCTTGCTTGATAGCAGTTAAGGTGTTCCTGCAGGGGTTGTTGTTGTTGTTGTTGTTCCCTTAAGATCATTAATTACTGAGACCTGTTCAATGATAAGCACTGTGGCCGGGCTCAGATCACAAAATGACTAAGGCCAAAAATAGCTTCTCTTATGTCAAGAAACCCATGCCTGGTTCTCTTTCTCTGGGGACCCCCTACGCTATCTGCTTACACTTACAAAATGTCTGTTCAGAAAAATCCATGAGTCTCCCAATTGGCCATTTGATAGATTGGTCATTTGGTTACTTAGCTGGCAGAAAATAGCTTGCCTCTCTTTTGAAAATGGGTCTCCTAGAAGAGAAAGTCTCAAGGGCAAGGCAAAGGAGATTATGGGCTCTCCTGGCTGTGATGCCCTTGAAGAGCTGTAAAGAAACAATGCTGCTAAGACCTACATTGCCAACACATCATTCCACAATTTCTTGGGCTTACAAAACCTAGGTTGTGCAACGGTTCCCATTGTGCAGGGATGTGTGATGTCCTCAGCTGAGCTGTAAGAGAAGTGATGAAGGTACACTGACTTGGACAGCTGTGGTCTTGAATAAGTGTAATGGGCCTCCCTGCCCCACTATGTCTGAGAATGTTCTCTGTCTTTTTATGGCACCTGGTCATGCATCTTCCTTGAGGCTCACCATCTTGGTGCCCCATGGGTATGCCTCCCCAATATTGGGCAGCTGGGGGTAATCTGCTCTGAGCCTCACCCCAATTCCCTGCTAACATGGAGGCCACATTTGTGACCTAGGTGACCATCTACTTGGGATGCCCAGACCT